GGTGGTTGGAGCAGGGAGTTGGATATTGGTTAGCCAAAGGTCAAAGATGTGCTAATGAGTTAGCGATGGATGGACAAAGTTCTTGAAATCTAATTATGAATTACAATTCCCATACCAAATAATCAAAGTGTTGAAGGTATATAATGGACCTCCTAAAGTACACGAGGGCAATCAAAATTATTTTTAAAGATTTTGGACTTCCACCATTGCTATAAAGTCTGAACTGAATGTTCAAATTCTTTTACACAGCCACAACAAATTCTTAAAACAATTTCTCAATGCTTTTAAGGTTAGACTTATTTCATATAATGGCATATCTTAATGTTTTTTCTATACCGAACCCATATTCCTAAATTGCTACCGTCTAATGTTAAGTTCACGAAGTTGAATAAACTTAAATACCAGTTAGGAATCATGATGGATGAAGTACTTGGCCATCCGTACTGAAACATTGCAATTAATCCCATTATTTATGTTGTCATTGACTTAAACACTAATGAATGTAAGGGATTCTTTTCAATTCTTATTCTTATGAGGAATTTAAAACAAAACAAAAAATTATTTTCCCCTACCAATAATGTCCCATTGTTTAAGCAACTAAGTTTTGATTGACATCTAGCCTATAGATGCACACTTAGTACTCTAACTATAAGAAGAAATTACGTTTGCTTGTCTCACTTTAAGTTGATTGAATCCATTATGGATTAAATAAATTCAAAATAAATCATAGTTTTGTTTTCCACTGATTCTTTATTTATTCTTCAGAGCGTTGAACCTGAGAATTCAAAAATCAGAGCCGCGACTATAAGATAAACCTCAACCTCCCCAATATATAGCTATTAGCCTATTATTACGATTGCAAAGGGCAGTTGGCTCGTCCTTAAAACAACAGAAAGAGCATAGCTCGTCAACACTCATAGTTTATCTGCAACTTATTTCATGACTGGTAGTTGTTAAAGTATATATTAGTAATTCTTTTCGGACGTTTGTCAAGTTTGTAAAAGAGTTTTTATATTTATATTTTTTAAAGAAGAGAATTTAATTGAATGCCTAGGAACCATGTAACTCCGCCAATGAGTCCAGAGTTCATATATTTATTCTCTGTGTTTGCTAGTAATACCTTCTCTCTTTATTCTTCTATTTTAAAACATTAATTTGGTTGGAATACATGAACTTGTCATATGCTGTCTAGTAGTAATATTTTTATAATAGAAGCAGAGGCTTTGAATTTGCCCAAAAAAAAGAGCAAGAATCCGAAGTCTATTTCAAGAAGCACAGCCTTTCCTTTTTTCTCTCCCAAAACTAAAGTTGCGTATTTTTTTTTTAATCCCCTCTTCTTTTGATTCCCCTTTGTTAGAGCTTTTCCTCTTTTGGTGACTCGAACCAACGACCCTAAGATTGTAAGTGGGAAGTGCTGACCATCTAAGCAATCTCCTCTTGTCAAAAAGTTGCATAGTTGAAGTTAACTTTTCCCTCTTTCACACCTCTACGCCTTAACTTTTCCTCATTTGCAGAAGCCTTAGCAAGAGAACCTCACGGATTGAATGTTTGATACCATCAAAATTTTGATGCCCTCTGTTCTTTACTTCTCGTTTTTCCTCTCCTTTGGCTCTGTTAAAGAAGCCTGGTACTATCACTGCATTGGCCTTGACCCTTGAGATTTTAATATAAATTTGTCCCATCTTTTTTCCTTATTCCAATTACTGCATCAGCTAGCTGTTTCTTGATAATATAAAAATAAAAACGAAAGGATATATAGATGGAGGTAAAGTTGACGAAATCATTTTCTGAGAAGATATCCATGCAAAAACCAATAAAGAAGGTGAAAGTTACTAGGTTCTTGATCACAGTCAATGTCTTGGGAAGTGCTGGACCGCTAAGGTTTGTTGTGAGTGAGAATGATAAGGTTGCTAGTGTCGTTGACACTGCTTTGAAACAATATGCTCGCGAGGGCCGACTTCCAATTCTGAGTTCTAATATCAATGATTTCTTTCTTTACTCAGCTACTGATGGAATTGATGGTACGTAGAGCAGTAGTAATATTTTTTAGAACTTACCCTCTTAACAAGTCAGGTAGAATGAATGGCTAGATTCCCCTATCACCTTTCCTTTCAGTGATATATTTGCCTTGTCAATTATGAAGTAGATGCCATTTATTAAGTTCAAGGGAAGTCTTTCCTTCCCGAGAGAAAACCTGGTCTTCCGATTGTCTCAGTACAATAAGTAGATTAAAATTTTTGCTCTTAAGACGTGTTCGACCATTTTTATGCATCTCTGAACATCGATAACGTTTTCTTACTCAACTGATTTTTCAGCTCTGGGACCATTGGACTCAATAGGATCGCTAAGAGTGAGAAATTTCATCCTATGCAAGAGGCAAAAACATGTAATGACAAAAGAAAGGGCACATGGCATTGCTCAGAATGGAAAAGGAGGTTGGATAGCTTGGCTCATTAAGTCCTTTAACTTCAGGATTCATTCTCATTGAAGTACTTTATTCTGTTGTTTTCAATTGTGTGTTCGTCAAGACTAAAATAAGCTGATTCTGTGCTCTCAAGCAATTGCCTTTGTGATGAATATATGATTATTATTTTAATAATTAATGTATGTATGTATGTATGTATGCATCAATTCCTTAGGTAACTCAAATGGTTATGAGAATCAACTTCCTTGGAACAAAACCCCATGCCTAATTAAGATATTTTAAATTCAAACCAAATTCACGAACAGTAATAATAGTAAAAGTTTCCAGCTATTCTGCTTGAGGAATAAAAACCTATTTTTTTCTAAAAGCAAAGGTTTCAAAAGAAAGCATGAATATGGAACTGATGATTTATTCCTGAAGGGAAAAAGTCAGATTGCCCCTTTACTATACGAAAATGATCAACAATGCCCTTTGTTAATATCCGTGCAAAAATACTCCGATCGATACCCATACAACTACGAATTTGGAAGTGATGATTTATTCGAAAGGGAAAAGGGTCAAATTTGTCTTTTTGCTATACGGAAATGATCAACATTACCCTTCTTTATACTAACCATACAAAATACTCCAACCGATACCCAAATAGCCACTTGACATACCACCTTAGTGTCCCAACTAGGGCTATTCATTTGGATCGGATATCCGAACCGATTCGTTCAATTTCGGATTTCGAATTTCAGATATTTGGATCAGATTTCGTATTGTGTTTATTAAAATTTTGAATATTCGGATCGCATTTGGATTGATATAATTATAACCCGATCCGATCCGAAATCCGAAATTGTTAGGACATGTATAAATATTAAAGTCAGTACTTCCTTTACATCTACTTCCAAGTTATTACCTTTATAATTGCTGGATTTAGTTATACTGGCACCATATTACTCTCATAATTGTATAAACATGAATTTAGTATAGC